GCATTATCTTGATGCATGTTGCATTAGCTTGATGCAAGAGATTTTAAGCTCTCGTAAATACTGTGATTTTAAACCACCATAGACAACAAAGAAACATTTAGGAACGTTTGATATTTAGTCCATGCAATTTAAAAAGCACCACCAACTTCCCATCGAGTTTCATTGCATACTTCTGTTGCTGTACTTCGCCTCGTTGGTTCATTTCTTGTTCCGCTCTTATAACGCGTACTTGAATTGAAGGTCTTCCTCAATCAAACAAGATGTTTTCAAAGTGTTTTTATTTTGTAATACTGACTGTGATTTTCATGTTACTCCAAGGTACGTTTTCTGACGTTTATAACATGTATTTATATTTCATGTGCTTTCAAACACGCAGTCACTTCCCCGCTGAATCTAACCTCATAATAAGTGGCAATTATTATACATCAAAACAAGACGCTTTATGGAGCGTTAGTTAAGTCGCTGGGACAATAGAAATACGCAACTTTAAGTACAAGTATAGCACTAAAAAGGGCCGATTTGTTTTTCGAAAATATTGATTCTTGAAGTTTGCAGTTTGCCGGGCAGTTCGCACGAGTTAAATGTGACGTATAGTGTGTCTATAAGTTCAATATATCACATAAACTATACATATATATATATATACATGATTCCAAAAACCTATTCATATATATATATATATATATATATATATATATATATATATATATATATATATATATATATATATATATATATATATATATATATATATGTATATATATATATATATATATGTATATGTAAACTTTATTTAAAGACGTTAGCCTCGTCAACGATTTGTTGATTTTCACGAGGGACGTCTGTTACTATTAAAAATTACAAATATGATATAGAAAAGAATAAAGAATTATATACAACTATTTACAATACAAGAATTAAGTTCCAAACGGTGTGACCCATATTTCTAAAGCATGCATATACAGTATATTAGAAGATGTTAGCATGAATCTTTCAGGCAGTTTTTAAAAGAATAAATTGATTGCGCTAGCTTCGCATCAGAAGGAAGACTATTCCACAATTTAGCTCCGCTATACTTAAAGCTTTTTTTAGAAATTCTCGTTTTGGCTTAGCAAGGGTAAGGTCAGTATAAGTATTGCGAAGATTATAACTGGTTTGAACAAGGTCCCTTCTCATTAGAGCATCCTTCAAGTTCGGCCCAGCGCAATCATTCAGGACTTTATACATTAATGTGGATTTAGTTGTACGTTGTCTTATCTCTAAATTTTCCCAAGCAAGGGATCGAAGAACATCAGCAGACCTTATTTCATAGCTGGCGCCGGTTATAATTCTCGCTGCACGGTTTTGGAACTTTTGAAGCTTATCTTTCAGCTGTTGGTTACAGACGTCCCATAATGGACTACAATAATCAAAATACGGTTCTATCAAAGCTCTGTAAATGGTGTGCAGGGTATTTATAGGAACATATGGCTTAATTCGTTGCATTGCTCCTATGCCGGCCCCAACTTTCTTACAAATCATTTCAACATGCTCATGCCAATTAAGGTTTTCATCAAGTTTAACCCCAAGGCATGTGTATGAATGAGCAAGAGTTATGTATTGGTTATTCATCATTACTGGAATATCATAAGTCATAGTATCAGTATTATACTTTGAACCGATATACATTAATTTGGTCTTAGTTGGGTGGTGTTGCAGTTTATTTCGAGCAAGCCACTCACCGACTTTTTTCAGGTCATTATTTAGATTTT